CAAGCAGTAATAGTGAGATTAATTCACAATGACTGCTGGATATAATTAAATAAATAAAATAACATTTTTAAGTTTAAAAAAAAAAAGTAGTGAAAAGTGTAAAAATAAAATAAAAATAAGTGTAAAAAATAAGGGACAAATTAATGTATGTATTGCTTTTTTTTTTTAGCTGTGCTGGTTTTGTTAAAAAAATACTACAAATCAAAACTGGGAAAAAAGTGTTTTTTTTACGTTTTTTCCTCCTTTTTTTTTATATTTTATTTGTCCTAAGTGAGGCGTTAGACACACATATGTGATATAAATATATAGCCCTATGTGTCCTCTAAAAAAACAATATATAATATGTGTGGGTGCACTTTGTATGAAAGTATATTACTGGCGTGGAAGAATCACACAGCAAAAATGTCAAAAGTGTGTCAGTCATTTACGAACAGAAACCAAAAACAAGCTGTCATGAAGGGGTTAATAACGTGCTGGATTAGTGTGATCCTAGTTAATTTTATTACTTCATTGCTGTGCTGTATGTTTATAGGCCAATGTAGTTGGATCTGTATGTGCGTTCATAATCGGAAATTAATCGATTAAAAAAAAATTCGATTAATCGAACACGAAAATTTTAATCATTACCAGCCCTACTTCTTTCACACCAGCAGCTTTCCTCAGTCTTTTTCAGGTTGAATTACACCAGTATGGTTAAGCCCACTTCCTCTGATCCCAAGCTGTCATGAATATGCCCCCAACCTGTGGGCAGTGAAGGAGATGCAGCACAGAGATGAGCTCATTTCTTTGACACTGTCCTTCCTTGTCAGCACATGTTCTGATTTGGCTCCTTGTGCTGTCTCTGCTTCATCCTCTTCTTCTCTGAGCTCTGCTGTAGAGGGACTGCAAGAGGCTGATACCAAGTCAAATTCAGATACTTACACTGCTTGCATTAAAATTACTTTAATACTGTAATACGGAACTGAACTAATTTGTATTTTATATCTCTGCCTTGAGTTCAGCTTTAAAATGTAACATTTTTGCACTGCTATAACTTAGGTCGCGATGTGATGACAATTTCTTTTATGTAATGAACATATAAAAGGTACAGGTTTGACGGACCTTTCTGAAGCTGAATCAGAAGGAGAGTGAAACGAAATGGTAGAATTCTTTAAGAATTCTAATGACTTAATCAGGCTTTGCAAAGATTAATGATGCTGGCTCTGATCGGGTATCCTGACGGGGCGGCGGCTGCTGTCAGGATACAAAAGGAACCGCGGGATTCCTCCATCAACGCACTCATAACATTGATGGAGGGTTGAACGAGAACAATAGACCAGAGTATGGCCAGCCTAAGAGAGCCTGACACTTCCGTGTATTTTGTTAGTTTTTATACTCTACCCACAGCATTGGCTAGCATATTAATTATAGTGGTCTTTTCCTAGCTTCCCCTTGTGGAATGCCACAAGGCCTCCATTGTTAAGAATCCATGTCCCAAATTCTCATTTCATTTTTTTTCTATTCCCCTCTTGATTTGGAGAATCTGGTAATTTGGAAACACACAAAATTTGCCCTTCAGACCAACTCCCACTAACTATTTGCAGGACTGTAGTAAGATTGGCAAATACTCCCCTTTCCTTTTCTCTCATCCTGGAAGGATTCTCATTACGGATGTATCTTCTTCCCTTTCCCTTAAGTCTAGTTCAGTGTAACTAGAGGTGCACCGAAATGAAAATGTTTAAACCGAAATAGAGAAAAATTTCAGACCGAAAACGAAAATGTTTTTTTATTTTAATTTTTTCAAATATTTTGTTTCTATTTATTTTTTTATAAAGTTTTTAATTTTTTTATATGTATTCATTTGTTAAATATTTTGATTTTTTACATTACTTTTAGGTGCTTCAGGAAATATTGGGGGTCTAAACGGATACCTGATATTTACCTTTCAAAATAGAGGACTTTGTGTCCTAAATCTCTTTTTCTGTCTCTCCTGTTATCAATGAACAGGAATCCTCAGTGTTCCTGTTCATTGATAACATGAGGACAGAGTATGTTTACTATAACTACAACTATGAATGAACAGGGGGTGATGTAGATCAGGCCTTCTTAAACTTTGTCCACTCGTGACCCCTTTTTTGCCGAGGAAATTTTTAAGGGACCCCAACGTCGGTCGGTGTCTCCCCCCTCCCCTAGCGTAAGTCGGTGTCTCTCCCCCTTTTTTCCCCTTTTTTGATTTGTAGTATTTTTTTTACAAAACCAGCACAGCTAAAAAAAAAATGCAATCAAAACATTCATTTATTTGTCCCTTATTTGTTTTATTTTTTTTACACATTTTTTTTTTTTTTATATAAACTTAAAAATGTTATTTTATTTATTTATATCAAGCAGTCATTGTGAATTAATCTCACTATTACTGCTTGATAAATTAATACATTTTTGGTTATTATCAGGCTGCTTCAAACTTCAGAACAGCCGATAATAAGTTAGTGACACTGATCCTGCAGCAGTTCAGGATTCAGCTGTCACTAAATGTTTTCTGATTGTTGCAACAACGATTAGCAAACTGAAACATTCTCCTTTCAAGAATAGATACATTTTGTATCTATTCATGAAAGAAAAAAAAAAAGCCAGTATAGCTTAAGAGATATCTCTCTCGATCTATACGAGCTGTCAGAATGCCAGGCAAAAGCCTGCATGTGTGTCCCTCTGCTTTCACTCTCAGACACCCGATATTAAGGTATCGGGTGTCTGAAAAAGGTTAACCCTTTCATTAATGAATGCCTCTGTAGTAAGGGCATCCATTAATGAATGTTAAAAGCTGATTCTCAGCGGTTAACCGCCCTCTAAAGCAGCAAATAACTGGTCACGTACAGTGTACGTGACGAGTCATTTGGTCCCTTTGTGGCTGGACGTACAGTGTACGTCTCCCGTCAATTGTCATCTCTGTCCCGCAGCGGCTCCTCTAACCCGCTATTGACTCACCGACAGTCCCATTCACTTTAATGGGACGGCTGGTGATGCGGCAGTGACGCAACAAGGTGAGGGACATGGCAGGCAGCAGGTGAGTGGATTTGCAAAACAATAGGATAAAAGGAATATTCCTGAACTTTGTTTTATGATTTATCTCATGGTTACTTACTGCGAAATTGTGTGAATGCATCGATGCAGTGCATGTTATCTTAGCTTGCAGAGCTTGGATTCATTAAATGAATTCAAAAATGTAAATATTGCAGAATATACAGCCTCATGCTACATAACTAAGCTCCATTTCATGCTGAATAAACGAAATTATTAATGTATCTTAAATAGAAAACTATCTTTAGATATATTTTTACTGCAAAAGCATTTTATTAAAAATTTGATAATCAGATTTAACCCTTTCCCTGCCAGGGACGTACAGCCAGGTCCGTATGTCGTACATTATAAAAAAAAGTGTAAAAAAATTAATAAAAAAACACAACCCCTCCCTCCCCCACACACACATAACATACACGTGCACCATATAGTGGTGTGCACATGCGCTGCAATGCGTTGTTATAACGCATCACAGTGCGTGATTCTTTTCTTTAAAAAAACACATTCATTTAACTGTGGCAGCGCATTGCAAAGCTTTGTGATGCATTGCCATGCGTTGTGATACCTTGTGTTCCAATTAAATATACGCCTGTATCATTTTTTCACAACACCAACACAGCGCAAAAACAATTAACATAAGTCATTTATATATTATATTAACATAAGTCATGTTATTTACAGTTTTGCGCACCTTCATTTTTTACCTTTTCGCAAAAAGGCGCAATTTCAAATTTGCAAATATTTTTTATTTATTAACTCAATACAGTTTTATCTTTTAGATTTAGTCAGAACATTTTTTTTTGTGCACTGATACTGATTTTAGTGCTTTATCAATAGAATTGTGTATTTTTATTGGTTTAATATTAATTACCGGGCCTGCGCTTTCAGAAAATATATGGTTTGAGGGGTCTTTTTACAAACGCTAGCAAACGCAGCAGTTGAAAATCAAATCAATGGGAAAAATTGCCGCCATCTGGAGCCTCTCATCCCTGCCTGAAGCCGATCCTGTGAAGCCAAAGCTGTGACTCCATGGATCCCCGCTGCTGTCTCCCGCTTGTAGGGGCTGTGGCAGCAGGGGGGGGGGTGCGGCGGCTGGCAGGGAGATGCCGCAAGTTTCAGGATGGTCGAGCGGTGAGGAGAACTGAGTCGCTGTCATCCTGTCAGTTTCCGGATGACAGCGGCTCTGTGCGTGGCCGAACGGGGGATTGATCAATATCATTGATATTTACCAATCCTCTGTGCAGCACAAACACTGGAGTGATCGTCTCATCACTCCAGTGTTTGTAAATAATTGGCAGCTGTGTGAATAACCGATCCGAACGCTGTTCGGCTATTCACTTCAGGCTTGTACGGCTGGTTTCAGCCGTACACCCACTGAAATCAGCTGTACATCGGCTTGCTGCGGCTGGGTTCGGGTCGGCCGAACATACCCAGCATGTTCGGCCGCCCGAGGTGCAGAAGGAGTTTGACTCAGCTGATCCGACATCTGGATCGGCTGAGCCGAACCTCCGGCAGGCTACACGCTGCTGTTCAGCCTATTCTTATAGGGGCCGAACAGCAGTGAGGAAATAGCCGAATGGCGCTCGCAGCAATAGAAAATTAAAAAAAATTGCAAAAATGGCATGGCCAGCTGAGTTGCAAAATTTTCCAGAGGGCTTGACAGCGAAAGGGTTGAATAAAATCTTTTTTATTTTATTTTTTTAAATCATTGATTTTTATCCACTCTGATATAAAGTATATCTAAATCCAAGTACAACTGATTAATATATTGCTGCTTACCCGTCCTTAGATGTGGGGGCTGCATTTGTTTTTCTTTTGTTTTTCTCTTTTTTTTTTAGGCTAACTACATTTTCTGCACGTACAGAATATATCTTGACCTCGCCAAATATCTTGTGTCCTTGTCACTTCCTGTGCAATTAACTTAAATATCAAACACTCCTCCCCAGCTATCTCCTGTGAACTACAGGACACCTCCATATGTAAAGGAGATGAGGTAAGGGGGTGTATGTAGTATGAATCAGGAAACCTAGGGTGACTGCTCCTTAACAGATAAGGTGTAGCAAGTATCCATTGTTCCCTAAAACAGGAAGTGTGTTACTATCCATATGCCACCAGGTGAAAATAAAGGAAAAAGCCATGAAAAAAGGAAATAAATTAAACCAACACGTTTAATGCCTGGTGGCTGCAACATATAAAATGTTTGTTTTTGGATTTTGATACACTTTAAAGAAATATTCTATACATTTGCCCTATACATTTGCCCAAAACCACTATGGTTTACCCACTAGCGTTTGATGCTGTAGAAAACGTATCTAGTGAAATGGTTTATTAAGCCTTGTGTTCACTTTAGGTTTACACTGTGGATGTTCCAGTACCCAGACGATCTTCTTTACCAAGTGGTTCTACAGCACACCCTTCTGCGGGCCAATATACACATGTAATTTTTCTGGAAACTCTGCTACTTGATGATATACACATGTCACTGGGTGAACTTTCTTTCCAAGATTGTATTTTTTGTTTTACAGCAAGCCGCAAGTCTTATTTACAACAATGGTTTAAGCCTACTTTTTAGGTTTAAAACTACTTTTTAGTGTTTCACTTGATTTTTTATTGTGGTGTTGGTATTTACTTATTGGCACATTGTATTTCAATTTGTTCCATGTTGCTGCATGTGCAAGCAGTATAAATGTCAGTAAACTAATCTAGAAAGCCAAACTCTGGAACTTTTTGTGCGTATGTACACCATAGTCCTCTAGGATGTTTGTTAGATAAGTGCTTATGATTGTTGCCTGAATAATTTGTTAAATGAAACAAAATGTTTACAATTACAGGTTCAGGCATGTATTGCAGCTGAATTTAACCAGACCCTTGCAAAACTAGGAGATGACTTCAGCGTTACAAAGATGTTAAAGCAGGAAAGTAGCGTTCTTAAAGTGAATTAAGACCCAAACAGTTCATTACACAGCTGAAATACAGTTCAATTGTTTGACTTTGCTTAGAACAAAGATTTGTTATTCTGTTCACCCACTCTTTTAATGGACACACTACTGCTTTACTGTACATATAGAAAAGTGACACCATAATTTACCACTGCAGCTTTGCAGTTTCCATGTGTCACTTGCCTGCTTACTCAACTATAACTGTAAATGTGCATTATCAGACCGGAGGAGCTGCAGAGGTTCTTTCAGTGCTGGTCTTGCAAACTGTCTAAAGGTGCCCATACACCTTACAATTATTGAATTTTGTTTGTCCTGTTATTGAACCCCTGTTCAATTTCAGCTTGAATACCCTATCATGCACAGACCAATGTAGTTCTCGATTATTGTTAGTTAGCAATACTAACTGTCCAACTTTCATCAGTCGAGAGAATAGATGTTAATTTGCGCATGTGCAGTGTTCATGTTGCGATTTGTGTTGTATGAAACCGCCACTAATCCATAGATTTTCGTCTGTTTCGATTAACGTTTTCCTGTTCAACCAAATTCAGCAAGTTGTACAGTAATTGCGATCGTGCACTTACCATCAACTGGCCGATTATTGTTGGTTTTTCATACAATAATCGCAAGGTGTATGGGCACCTTTCGTCGATATCCTCCAAACCTCTTCAGCCACATTAGATTGACAGCATTGTAGTGGAGCCAGTACATAATGTCTTAGGACTTGTTCACACCAATTGCGGTGCGTTCCAGAGCAGTAGCGCCTGGAACGCACAGCGATCTCACACTGAACATCCCCCTTCGCTCTGGGGCCGGAGGGGGCGTGGCGGGGCATTGATGTTCCGGTCCACTGCGAACGCAAGAGCATGCAACATTTTTTTGCGTTCACAGTGGAACGGAACGCAGGCAATGCTTACACGTGCGAGCACACTGTGGGTGGGGTGTGTGGCTGCAGTGCCATTGACTTCATGCCCCCTCCCGCCCCAGAAGGAAGGGGGAAGTTTAGTGAGCGATTGCTGAGAGTTCCAGCAGCTACCGCTCTGGAACGCACTGTTATTGGTGTAAACAAGCCCTCAATCTTTCTAATTTCTGCTGTGCAAAGGATTGTGGTAAGATGCAGTTATGTTGACAGTATTTTATTCTACATTTAAAGGAGAACTATGGGGTCAGTGTTTTTCCCCATAGTTCTCCTTAGGGTAACGGGAGGACACAAACTAGCGTCCTCCCGTTACCCTAAGCTCAGTATACCGCGAGCTACCGCAAGCTACAGCTCGCGGTATACAGAGACGCCGCACCTGGAGCGGATCCCGACTTAGATGACGGGATCCGCCCAGCTGCGTGAGTGACAGCTGGCTCTGCCTACCTAGAGGCAGAGCCAGCTGTACCCGCCCCCTCCCCCGTCCGTTCCGCCAGTCAGCGCTGGCAGATCGGAGCGGGGAGAGGGGAATCCAGCCCCTCCCCCTGTCATGGCAGAGAGCCGTGACAGGATCGAGAGGTGAGGGAACCCGGTATGTGTTCTCTCACCTCCCGATCTACTGAGCCGACCTGTGACAGTCTCATTGTCACAGGTCGGCTAGAACTATGAGGTGAGTGGAAATCACTCATCTCATAGTTCTCCTTTAATGATGTGTTTAGTAAATAAACAATTATGTTTATAAATGTAGTGCAATTGTATTTTCGTGGAGAAATTCAGATGTTTTTTGTCTTATTTTACATAAGCTAACTTTATATGGTCTCATCTCTCCCAAACTGCTTCTTCATAAACTGAAAAGACCTCCATTAATATCCTCAAGCATTATATTTTCCCATAGAGCTGCTCAGCTTTCATAACTGCCTGGTTATACATTCTTGCCTATTATTTTGTTACCATATCCACACAAAAGGTGGGCTGTATCAGCTTTTTTCATTTTTTTTTTTATGGACAAAGTTTTTAGTTCTCCTGCAGGTATTCTAGTTTTATTTTATTTTTCCAGGTACAAGAAGACAATGGCCTTATACAACTCTAAAACAGCATATCAGCATTCTAGGACTGTAAAAAGAGCTTTTATTGTATGCCTTTGAGCAACAGGGTCCTACTCTTTTGAGCTAAATATTGAGCATTTGCTGCTATAAAACTAAATAGGTAGAATTTGAGCAATGCCTAACATCAGTCCACATTGGTGTTCTGTGGTAGACTTACAATCCTGTTCTGGGTTGGTATTTGAATAAAAATGTTGGGTACCAAGGGGTAACCTTCTTACAGGTGTGAGCAAAAAAACGAGTCGTGTCACCTGATGCCACTTTTTAGCTTATGTGTATAGAATTGTGTAAAGCACAGTCCAGAGATGTCTGTGAAAAAAGGTTTGGAAAATGCTATAGTAATGAACTTGCACAGATAAAAAAAAAAGTCTTGGTTTGATGTCCCCCTGAATTGTAATGGCAGCCTTATTAAGATAGTTACCCCTTTAGTCGTCATATGGATATAGCTTCTTCGGACTCTGGCAACATCCCTATTTACTAGGGATGCACCAATACTGGGCATTTTCTCAAGAACTTTTTTAAACTGAAGCTGCTGCCTGAGGTTCTGTGCTTGCTGGGGACCTCGGCAGCCTTCTTGTAAATGGCGGCACCTGTTTACAGTGCTGGCCGCACATCTCCCCCTTCTTCCTTCGGAACCACACAGCACTGCTTACAGCGCTTCTGCCGGCTCGCACCCGCCCAGAAGACCCTCTGGACCCCTGCTGACAGCCCACCTGACACCTCACCCAGCTAACCTGAGACCCTGGAGGCATCAGGCCGATCCAGCAGAGCAACACAGAATATATAGCTTCATTTTATTCTGCACTGTTGTATAATGTATTGCTGGGACTTGTAGTTTTCTATAGCTGATGGTTTTATTCTGCATTGCTGTAAAATGTATTTCTAGGATTTGTAGTCCTCTATAGTCGGCGTCATTCTGCATTGCTGTATAATGTATTGCTGAGATTTTTGACTCTTCTATAGCTAGTTATTTTCTGCATTTGCTGAGATTTGTAGTCCCTCTACAGCTTGGAGTCTGTGACAGAACAACCAGGATCACAGCAGTTGCAGCTGCGACCAGGCCCTGGTGCTCCACCACTGTCCTAAAATGATCAATCTGTATTGTTATAGAAAAACTGTCACATGAAACTAAAAAAAGGGTATCTGTAATTGGTATCGGTGAGTACTTGAGGTAATGTATCAGTACTCGGTCTTGAAATGTTATCGGTGCATCCCTACAATTTACAACGAATATGTAGAAATGTGCTGTGGCAGCAAAAAGCCCAGCTTTATTTCAGTAGAACCAACCAAAAAAGAAAAAGAAAAGACAACCAGCGCAAATAATATATGAAATGCAAGTTCCTACTATGCAAATGACAAATACAACCTTCACTAAATTATAAAACATGTGCTTGTAGCATTAATCAGTTTTAACTTGGCTAAGCCTAGTAAATCAAAATTTTGTAACACTTTACAGCAATTCCTGTAGTACAGAAATATCTTATCTGTGTAATGTTCTTGTCCTGAATATATGAATAGTAATTCAGTATAGGGGTTTTGTAGAGTCCTTGCAATGTCTTCATGAAGAAATTACCTGCACTGTAAAAATCACAGTAAAATTACATTACAGGTTGGTTACATCTAACCTTATCTGGAGCCTTAACTTACTAATTAGGTTGCTGTCTCACCTTAAAATGCCTACATATTTGAAATTCCAGTACTTGAGTGACTCTCTTTTTGCAGTCTATGCGGATTGATCTATCCTCAGCAATAGCTTTGGAGGCCGGACCCCGCTGTACTGGACAATCGCAGAGCCTGCCTAGAATGTGACCTACTGTCACTGGGCTCTGTTTGTGGTGCTTTCCAGACCTATGCATACTGTGTTGGTTTGCCACAAAGCGCTTTCCTGATGTGACCCAATCTTTGAAGACTCATCATACATAGGATGTGTTGGCAGAGCATCACAAGTTACTTCATTTATTAGACCCGTTGGGTGCCTTGATTATCCCCTTTTTTCCTTTGATACCTCAAAGTGTTATACGTCACTAGGTGCATTACGTGCTCTTTTCCCGCCATTCAGTGAGATGGCATCTTCCTGCCACTGCTCCTATTCGCAAGAGACACGTGGTTTAGTCCTAGAGTCTGCTTACAGTGACATAGTCACCTCTGGTCTTTTGATCCTCTCCTACTCAGACCAGTGGGTTTGAGTACTCAGGGTTTTACTTTGTATTACAGCTACATTGTCCCTGCTTGCGGTACAATGTGTCAGATCCCAAGCACAAGAGGAGCAGTCCCGCTGTGTTGGGTGCATCTGGCTCTCAATCCACTAACTATTCTGCAGTGTTCTGTCAGAATGCCTGACACCGACAGCCTTAAACATTGTCCCCTGCTTGGAGTCCTTCTTGGCTCGGTTGGGTGTGGCCACCTCCTTGGCTTTAACATGGGAGGTATCCCCAAGTTATGCAGTTTTTAAATGGGCCACAATGCAAATTGCCAATTCTGACCAGGGGACATAAATGTACCTATACACCTTGTTCTGCAGAGTCATTATATGACTTGCCTGCAGCCTCTGAGCCTTCGGTTGTGGAAGCTTTATCTAATCCATGCAGGATAAGATTGCCCCTGTGGAGCTGAATGCAGCCACCATAACTCCTACACTAAGAGAAACCATTTAGGCTCGCATTGATGCTGCTTGTCTACCTTAAGGTGGAGGAGCAACCTGTAACTTTCACCAGTGCTGCTACCAGTCTAGGATCTCTACGAAGTCCTAAGACTACTTAAACTTTTCCCACGCACACACTATTTCCAGGCATTCTGTACACTGACTGCGAAACTCCTGATCAACACCACCCAAACATTTTCGAATACCTGTTTGAGAAGGCCTTTAAGGAGTGGGCTGTTCCCACAGTTGATCTGACGGTGTCTTCCTGCCTTTAAATCCAAAACAAAGCCTAGAGTCCGGTTTCACAGGAAGTCCTGGGCCCC